CCTGGTATTTTATTTGTTGTATGATAATCACATTAGTTAAAGTCATGTGAACGTTATACATTAATTATATGCAAATAAATATATCAGTGTGTAATATTAAAATCACAGGTTTTAATTATTTTATAAAAGTTATTTCTGATATCACTTCGTTTCTTTAAGAGATTTAATTCGGGTAATGCTTGCTAATATTCAGTTCAAAACCTTTTTTTCCTTCCCGTTTGATGTCAAAAATCGTAAAGATTAAAGTATACGAAACTATAATTTTGCCTGTAGTTTTATATGGTTGTGAAACTTGGTCTCTGACATAGGAGGCTGGAGAAAGTTTCATAATTACGAGCTCCAAAAGTTGTACTCCTTGCCAAATGTAATTAGACAAATCAGTCGAGGAGGAAAGATGGGCAGGGCATATAGCCCGCATGGGAGAGAAGTGGAATGCATACAGGTTTTTGGTGGGCAAACCAGAAGGAAAGATATCACCAGAAGACCTAGACTGAGGGAGGATAATATTAAAATGGATCTTAAAAAATGGGGTGGTGTGGACTGAATCCATTTGGCTGGGGTTAGGGACCAGTGGCAGGCTCTTGTGTATACGATAATGAACCTTCGATTTCCGTGAAATGTTGGGAATTTCGTGAGTTGTTGAGCGACTTTGGGGTTATCACGAAATACACGGCTCCGTGGAGTAATTAAGTAAGCACTTTGTTTCAGAGTGCTAACTGAACTTTCATCCATGGTTCAAGGGGTCTTAAATTTTTCCCAATATGAAGGTATTTATTTATTAAGTGGATTAAAATATAAAATCTTTCCACTCATACTATAATTCTTTAGTGTGAAACGCATTGCACGACGAAGTAGAATGTACATGAAATAGAAAACAGTTGTTTAAATTCTAAATAAATTCACTTTGGAAATTCAGAACTTAAATTAAATAACAATATAATTTAATGTAAACTTGTCGGAATTCTTATATATTTTACAACAGGATGACACGTATCACCACACCTTGACATGAAAATATTTGCAGCCCCACTGAGGAACAACTTCTCCATGTGATGGGTATGATGGAATGTGACTTTGGCTGAACTAAATTATGCACCCATTTTATCTTAAAGACGGTGAGTTACCAGAACCTTCCCTCCCCTTGTAGGGAGACAAATTGTGTAGCTTGAATATCAGCGACAAAAGTTGATTCCGGCACATCGCTGGAGTAGTTCTTATGAAATAACAATAGATGGCAGAACAAGCACACATTGCTCGTGGCGTTTCTGTGGTTATTAGAAACCATTATATCTATGAATGGAGGCTGTTATTTTTAGCTAGTAAGGAAATGATAATCTAAGAAAGAAATGTATTATTATAATAAGCGATCAATTCACACGTAGCTTTTTCTAACTCAGCTTACAGCAGAAATATAACTAATTAAAAGCCTGGTGGAAGAAAAAGACGGAAAATTTGCTGTTTGTAGGGGGTAGAACCGTTAGAAGGAATAGCCCATATTATCCTAAGAGTGAATATAAAGTCGGATGAGGAATAAACATGCTTAAATAGGGAACAATTTAACAAGAATTTAAAAATAAAAGTAGTATTTCGTATTTATTATGAAATTTCCTTTTTTTGTTACCATTACATAAGTATTAAAATGAGAATGTATGAATAGCAGATATTTTCAAACAGACGGATTAGAAAGTATAGACATTTTATCGTCATGTGTCATTCTGAACAATGTGTTATATTCCCTGTAACTTTAAACACACATGAAAATCCTCTAGCTTCTTATGACCCGTATAGTAACTAATACAAGTACTTTCGTCGACAAGCCATCTTAATACATAATTCAATAAAATCTAACGATTACTTGTGTTAATATCGAAAAATGAATTATTCAATGGCGGATAGCATTTACTGTATAATTACACAGACGATAGCCCGAAAAAAAATATAATTTTCTTAAAAAGCTTTCAAGTTTTAAATCCGGTGATAAAGAATGAGTCTTAGCTTTCCGGAGGGTGATAAATATCGGACGTTTATGAAAATCTGAAGGAAACTACAATTTGACGGTTCACGTCATTTCGGGGATATGATATAACGAACAACAAATTTAAGACGTAAAATTCTTCTCACTTACATTCTACAAAACCAATTACGCTTTCCCTCACATAAGGGTATAATACGGGCACGTACGGTTTACAAAAACAGCGATTTCAGGAGGCCACGGATCAAATTTGGCTGTAGCCCCAAAGAATAAAGAAATCATTATTAGAGTATGTATATATTGTCCTAGGGAAATTTAACGTTGTTGTTCACGATATTATGGAATTTGCCGTTGAATGGCACAGGTGTGGTAAAAAAGTCCCAGTCGTGCACTGTTTTTTGAACCTTTTTACTCTCACTTTATTATACTTCATGAAGAACTGTGCCAGATTGTTTAACGAGTTTCACAGGAATATTTTTTGTGCAACATTATCAAAAAGTAAAATGTATGCTGTTGGTAGTACTGTAAGACCAATTTTATGTTAAACTCTTCAAAATTTGGAACTGTTATAATAATTTTGGTTGAATTGTTTTATAATTCTTTATTTTAAGACGCTTTCAGAATTCTTTTGCTTTATACACCGACTTACCGAAATAGACGGCCTACAGTCGTAACGCGTATCTGCGCTTACACTGGATGGCGGATGCTCCAATTCTTCAAAGGCATTGTAAAAATCAAATCCGAAATAATCATAAGTGTGATTGTTTAGCTATTCTGATACTATTACGGATATACTTCCCCGTTGACCAAACGAAAGATGTACAAAAGAAAATTCAAAACAGTCCCGGAAATTATACTGAAGTAATTGCATTGCTTATTCAAAATTGCAATCTTACAGAATGACAACCCCATTTGCCACAACGCCATGAATATGTAGGATATTTATGTAGACTAAATAATAAAATATATTATTTATTCACACAATCTTTTGTATATGGTTTTATATTCCCTTATATCATTATTCTATTATTTTTCATTATGATGCAGCGTAATTGTATCTTGATGAATAAAATAATGACACAAAGTAATTAAACGACAGTGGAAATGATTCCATTCTACACTTTTAACATTGTGGGATTTATTGGGTTTTTGAACTTTGTTCATCGCCCAAGGTTAAAATGTATACGACGTTTTCGTCTTCAGTTGTATGGGGCAGGGGGCACGTACTTTGTTGGGTCCAATAAAAAGCGCTGGTCCAGTTATTAAGATATAGTTAATCTGTGAGTGTTTTTTCTCCGAAAATATTTATCTTTTCATTTTTGTAGCGGACAAGGAAATTGAACCACGTTTTCATGACCAACAGACTTGATTGTCATTTGTACATTTTCCTCTGTCCGTTCAAAATATTACCTTTTCTCTTTCGGGTCATCTATAAAATTAAATACATCAGTTACCGCCTCATTTTAAGCGAATAAAATTAAAATATGCAGTTGCATATGACAATAAGAACTAGCTTTGGGGCAATGAGATTCGAAGATGTTTCTCATTATCCGGAAAGCGATGATTAAACTCAGATAAATTCTTCAACTTATCACGAAATATGATTTCCACATTTGTTACGGAATATTAAAACTAAAAGTCTTTGAAATGTTTACACGGGTGTAAAACGATTAAAATACACTTACTTTGAGTTTAGTAACGTTTACGCAGAAAAGACCTAAATTACGTTTAAACGAATGTTTCTTAGCTGAATGATGCTTTCCGTTGGCAAGGTTCTTTAAAACCCAGAGCTACAGAGTACATCATCTTTTACATAATTTCAAGGTCATTGGTGTTCGTAATGAAGCGGTGGTTGTCACATTCGAAACAGCTCTTTTATTGAGCGCAAAATTTACCCTCACAAACAGTGGGGGCCCCCGTTAATTTGCATGTACTCGTATGTATTCGTGCATTTTCGTTAACTGTACACTAATATATACATATATATCAGTTGAAATGCTGTCATAGTTCACTAACAAGTTTTTAGTACGCTGTCAAATGACAGTTTATTCGTAATTGTACTGGAAAATGTACGAGACATTTTGAGATGACGTATGAAATAAATAGGTGTCACCAGGGAAATGGAGAGAAATACAAGAAGTTATAAGTGTCTGGAGTGATATTACAAAACGGACAAAGGCTGTAAAATATGCAAGCTCAGTTAAAAGGCAAACACAATAAAAACGCTTACGAAAGAAGTCATAACAGTGTGCATCAAATTTATTAAATAAACATCATTAAAGAAAGACTTATGGGTGAACTGAAGTAGTTCCACACATTCGTAATCTGTTTAATGAAATTAGCCTCACGTTAAATTTTCAACAAACTACCGAAAACCGCTGCCACCTGTTTTTATAAACAAACTAAATGTTCAGCTTTAAGTCATAAAAGGCTGAAGACCTATTAGAAAAACGTTATGCACTGCGTTGGGGTTGCGGGGTTGACCGATTGTATTCGTGCGTTTTCGGTAGTTTCTGTCGGGTCACGCGTTACAGAACCGAACTCATGAGTGTTGCCAACTAAGTATATATCACTGTAGTCTGTCCAAATCCCGCTGTTGTAATTGGCTGTTGTGTATCCCAGTGAATGTCAAGTTTCATAAGAAAAGAAAACAAGGTATGTTGACTGACCGTTGTGATTCTGTCCAGCCGGATCAGAAAGCCGATACGGAAGTGGCGAGACCATAAAAAAACGAACCAAGACCATTTTTTTCGTGTATCACCCGAAATAATAACTTGCTATAAACAGATCCACTCGACGACATGTTTACACACTGTTCCTTTTACATTTGTGATCGTCTTCTGATGTGGACATGGTGTTTAGTGACTGTGATTCTAGGACGAGGTAACAGTAGTGATCGCCCATTTTGGAAACGTCGTTGCGTGCTGCAAGGACAGCCAATGATGTCCTCACTGCAGAGAAGGTAGCAAGCAACATTAAAATCGCTTTTTCATCACCGGTAAGTTCATACATGATATATTTAATATAAGACCAACTAAAATAATACTCGCAATTAACTGGTTATGAAATCTGCTATGTGCTTATAAGGTCCCGGGTTCGAATAATACCCTGGATATCCTGCTGTTTTTTGTGGTTGTGTTAAATTACACCTGGAAATGTCCGTTTTCGTCCACATCTAATCATCCTAATTGTCGATGTTACTTCAGTAAGTTTTTCTAAAGATGTGTTGAGTCCAAAAGTCATTTTAAGTTTTGTCAAGGATCTCTTTGATGCTGAGACGTGTCGTTCAGAGTTCCCATGTTCTGAGGGAATTTCTCTGGGGGATTCTGAAAAAACATAACAATTAAGCCTTCAGTCAACAATTGTTGACAACTTGTGACCGGTCTCCAATTTAATAACAAGGATGCCAGTTCTGTTTCGGTAATATCATGACGTAATAGAACAATGTGTAAGGTCTTCATATTTCCTTGAATCGGTCTTCAATGCATAGCGAGAAGATCGTAAATATTCATTGTTTTTGTTGAACACTGATTACGTCTTACAAGGAAATATAATAGGGAATTGTTACTTGTTGCCGAGACACGCAGAGACATTAGTCAAAAATCTTTCTTTAACTTGTACTTACTATAACTTACCCAAGCTTAGATGATCAGCATTAAAGCCATATTTTACTTTTTCCCCGTACCCTTCGAAACACTTGGCATAAATGTTTCTGTTGCCCTGTAAACATGTACTGTTATTATTTAATAATGTTAACTTGACAAAAATTGCTGCTACAAGTTACACAACAAACGAATTAATTTTTGAAAAAGTTTCAGAGGTCTTTGCTGCCTCCATCATCAGGGTAATGATCGCCCTGATCATGGAGACAGCAACTACCTCTAAAAGGACTGTAAACCTCTACCAGACTAAACGGGGCAACAACGCAGAACACAGCCATCATCAGACTCTGCCGTGAAAACCTCAGATCCTACGAAATCATGTTTCCTCATGGGTAATCCACGAAAGTAGGTCAAACGCGCCGACCACATGTCGTCTATAGCGATAGAACTTGTGCAGAATCTGTCAATGTATCGTTTGACTTTATTTACGTAATAAATACAAATCAATGTAACGCTCCAATTCGTAGTCAAGAATACTACGAGGCGCGTCCCAAAAGAAAGTTTCCCACTCGTCCCACAGCTAGCAAACCTTATATTGCGCGAAGCGACTGTGCGTACGTGATAGAGCAATGACGTAGCATGGCGCATGCACTAACGGCACCTCCCGCGTTCTCACAGTAGCATCGTTGCAGCTGTTGAAGATGGAGGTTCTTATTCCAGCTCCCGCCGACTGTGAAGTGCGGTCAGTGATAACGCTAGGCCGCACCCGGCTCGACGGACAGCAAGTCTCCTGCCGGAGTTCAGCTGGGAGGTGTTTAATCATCCACCCTCCAGCCCGGACCTCGCTCCCAGTGATTTCCATCTTTTCCTACACCTCACGAAATTCCTGTCCGGTCAGCGTCAGCGTTTTGAGAATGACAGAGAGGCGGAGATGGGTGTCACACAGTGGTTCCCATCCCCGGCGGCAGACTTCTACGACACAGGTATTCAAAAGTTGGTCCCCCGGTATGACCAATGTCTCAATTCCGGTGGCGAATATGTTGAAAAATAGCTGGACACTTGCTGTATCTGTTGCAATAAATATTTCCATGAAATTGTGTTTTGTTTCTGTAAACGGCCCCAGGGAAACTTACTTTGAGGACGCGCCTCGTATTTCATTTAAATGACGCTGGATGAGGGAAAAGGTAAGCATTGCATTAGCAGTGCTTCCCGTTAACACTACTCTGTATACATCACCCTCATTCTACGTGCAACGCCGTTCAGCTCTGTCCTTGATCAGTACACGTGTGTGCGACGAGGAAAATAAACCTTTAACGTTATAGGAGTTTGGGTAAAATCAGTAAATTCATTTTCATAAAACGCTGTTTTAAATCTATCACGTGCTTTTAGTCCGTTGCTATGAAGTGAACTTTCCGTGTTTCTGACAAGACCTTTAAGTTCCCCTACAACAGTAGAACCGAGTCGTAACTACGTTTCTATTGAAAACGAATACCTCGCGTAATTTATTTCATATCGCTAGGATAAGAACTGCAATCCCACATGATTTATAATACAAATTCATCTCAGTTTTAATGACTTTTGGGTGAACACATTATGCAAAATACTAGTAATTATATAACAATTACGTAGAATTCAACTGGGTCCCTTGTCGGAAGCTTTGATCTTTAACTGATTTCCACGGTGTGATTAAACTTACTTGTCCTGCCGTACCCAATGAAAGTGCAATCGGCCAAGACATTTGAATATCTTATTCTACGTGTGTGTACAGTTCGTAATCTCCATTTTCATAGATTCATTTACCAAAACTTAAGCACACTTTTCACTGAAGTAGTAGGGAATTACGATGGAATTGACTACAAATGCCCCTAGTTGAGTAGCAAGGCGAGGTTAAAGTAATAGTATTAAGTCACACAAAGCTATTAACCGTGTAAGAATATATTTATGAGAGTACATTTCAAATGACCTTCAATCTATCACTTCGCAAATACGCCTCGTTATTATCCAAGGATGTGAAAACATATACAATTTTCAAATAAAAAGATCTTGTAATTAACCAGATACTTAACTGAATATATAATATCAACATTAATAAAAACAATTTATTTGTAAATGTATACGTGTTGTTTGCAATCGAAAAATTTAAAATATCGTCATATAGCGTTTCAAAAACCAATAACGTTTTAAAATATTCGTTTCAAACAAGCGTTTACGTCATATTCTACAGCAGACGATACCAAAACAAAACACGGAATGAACAATACAACGTAGTACAAGATCGCACTACTCTAAAAATAATGGAACAACTAAAATTTACTACTGGCAGGGAACCAGAGAGCAGGAAATTACGTATTTTAAATATTTTTAAAAATAAATAAATATTTATAATGCATCTAAACGTGCATTAACTTATGTATGATTCACAGACCTGATGATGACTAAATAAAATTGAATAAAATTTTTGGATATTATCCATCGTCTAGTAAATATAAAACGTAAAACGACGTTTCGGAGATGGGACTCTATCTCCGTCTTCAGGTTCCTACACAGTTGGGCCCACTAGATAGAGCTAATCCCTAGACGATGGATAATATCCAAAAATTTTATTCAATTGACTCTTCACCATCGTCAAGAAGTTTTAGATTTGATATACTAAATAAAATAATAATAAACACATTTCGATTGCCTAGATAAAATGAGGCAATGGGGGCAAATCATCTTATAGAATACTCGAATTATTATTTTGTTTGCTTTTGTACGAATGTGAAGGAACGCAGATTTATAAGAGTGATAGAAATTGAAGGCGATTGGATTCTGCTGGCCCAGGACAGGGACCGGTGAGGGCTTCTATTAATTCGGTGATGAACCTTCTGGTTCCCTATGCCACCTACTTATTTATTTATTCATTCATTTAGTTAGTAAGTTAGTAGCCTACAGGACTTACATCTGCAATGGATGAATGAATGTCAGAACAGTATACAAATGTAAAGAATACATTTACAAAATATTTATATTTTAGCATTTGTTTATATCGCACCCAGATTTGAAATTTATGTTAAAATAAAACGGGCTTTATATAGTAAACATCAAATTCAGTTATAGACAGAATTTAATAAATTACAAAGCAAGAAACGTCGTTAATTGCACACACCCATTTGACAGTCAAAATAATCGGAATGATGAGTGATTTGTTGGTTTCTCGGCGATTAATTTTAATTAAGTCTTTTCGAAACGTCGATTTATTGCTATGACTTCACGTGGCTGTTGCTCCAGAAGAATTCGTTGTATTCATTAAGAGTTAGGAATGGAGGTTTCATAAGAGAATTAAGAGTTTAATACAGAATTTTCGCGGTTAAATTTCGAGCATTAGATGCAACTAACACACGACTGGGCTTAAGGCAAGCTTTTGTCATGGCGGCCAATATTCGCGGTTTTTATATGACATAAATGCGGGTGTATAAAAATACCATCGATAATTTTTAATATAGCAAAATAGTTCATTCTTTTGTTATCGCCGATTATGCCTGGTCATATATAGAAATAGTCTGATTTTGGAACGCTGAAACATTTTGAAATATTGTAGCACTTTTGGAGGGGTAATGGACCCATCAAAACTATTTTGCGTGCGGCGTACAACAAAATACAAACATCGCCGACGTTCGAGAAGGAAGCGAAAACTGGGTATTCATGTAAATGTACTCATTTATTAATATGTTTGCATAAAGGTGACGTCTGTCCATTCCAAAAAAGAACGTGGTTTTTTCATGTTCTGTAGGCATAACGAAACACTTCTTAGGAAGCGATTTAATTTCTGGTACTTGAAATTGCGTCAAACGTTTCTTTCGTAAAGAACACACAGGTTGTCATTTGTTAGGAATTGCCTATACATTTCTTCTGTTTTAACAAAAAAGTGTTACGAAACTTGATTTTATAAAGCCTTGAAATGGGTTCCGTCAACACGCACGGGCACACAAAATAATACACAGTATTGTCGACAAACGCTTGGTATTATTTTCATAAAGCGAGTTTCTTTCTGTACCTAGAACATCTAGGCACATTAACATGTTTCATACAATTAACTCCGAAACATAAGTCTGTTGATTCTGTTGAGAATACATTTGTTCTTTGGTGTAGTCTATTTGTCAGCACTTTGTCAACTGTCTCCTGTAGAAAGAATTGCATGCAGTTCTATAATACCTGTTACATAATATAAACTTTCAACAAATAAAACCTTTGTCGTATATCTGTGCTCATAAGAGGTTTACGGAGAACGTGGCTAAAATTACTTTATTTTGAAAGTTTATTTTCAAAGAGAACAGAATTAAGTACATGGAACGGAGTGTTTCGTTGAGAAGTTAATAGTTCTTCAGCTAGTCGAGACTTTCCATGCCTTTTATGAAACAAGGTTTATTACCGTGTTCACAAAAGTCCGATAAATTCGATAAACATTACGTAGCTTTGCTCTTATTTTACGGTGATTAACTGTTTGCCACGCCCCAGCTACCAAGGTGAAGGTTTAAACTTGTCGGCTTCCCACATCTGCTTGATGAATACGTCAGTAACACGTAGAGAAACGCTGTCTTACTTATCAATTATGCGATAACTCTTAGAAGAGGGAAATAAGTTTGAACAGAGTAAATTATTTAATGAGAAAACCAGGATTTAGTTCGGTTTTAATACCAAAGAATACCTTACAACAATTTATTATTTATGAATAAATTAATTGCATCTTTCTGTAATGTTTATCCCGAGATAAGAAAAACGAATTTGGACATCTGATTGTACACCGGCTAGGCCATTCTGCAATGTTAATCAGAATAAAACTCTGGCAGACTAGTTAATAAAATGAAAATACGATTTAAATCATAAATTCATCATCATCCAGCTCTGCATCTATATTTTTCTATAGATATTCTTACAATTTTTCAGTCTTTGCTAGACATTTATGAATGTCATGGCGTTGTGATACATTTAAACGAAAAAATATTATGTTGAATACCAATATTTTATGTTTATACATACATGTTAGAACTGGAATTAATACTGTATTTTATGGCGGAATTACAGTTTGGTGTACACTTGCCTAAACACTTAAAAATAATTCATTACCTTGGATTTTAAATAGCAACGAATGTGAGGTTAGGTTAGTTCGTTGCGAAATACTTCAGCCACTCACAAATATATCGAAAATAGCGGTCAAGTGGTTAGCATTTCTTTTAACATGGGAGGTGCTTGGTTCGAATCTGGGACAGGAGACCGGTTATCCTAGACATGGTTCTCCTCAGTCTACACAGGCAAATGAGCTTTCAAATAAGGCACGATGCTACATACGACACGTCGCGGCAGTTGCCAACATTACCGCTTTGTTTTCGGGAGGTCCAGCGACCAAATCTCTGTCCAAGACAATAACTCAGCTATTTATAAATTTCATCAGTCCATCCAATAAAATGCCTTGATAATATACTTTGTCAGTCCACGACTAATTCATTCTATATCCTTTCGAGT